TTTGTGAGTGAGGGCCGGGAAATTAGCTGCCCTGGAGAAGTGAGGGAAAATGTTGCCATATAATCCCAGTTGACTGACCTGTATTTGGAAGAACTCCAAGACGAGCGCATAAGGCACGATTTTATTAAGGATAACGAGAAAATTTGGAAGAAGGTGAGAGGCAAAAGAACACAGGTGCAACTTTGGGAGGTAGGCAGGCAAGGTGGTGGAAAGGAGACCACCCACCTGGGATTTAAAAATAAAGCAGGAGGGGGTCGAACCAGAGGAATGGGAAGTGGTTTCCAATACAAGGGCATGGACACTGGGGCATGTTTTTTTTCAAACCCACCCCGGGCGGATTAAGGCTGATATGTTAGACCTGTCGTTACGAAAGCCATAGGTCAATAGACTGACCAACGAAATGGGGACTGCCGTCGGATTTCTTCGAACCAAATTCCACCAGGTGTGGTCGTGGTGGACATGAGACGAAGTGGTATGGGATTAAAAAGAAAATCCCGGAGCCCCTCGTTGCAAAACCCGTCTCTGAGAAACAGAAGCAGGGAAACGCCGATGGGCCGCCCCCAAAGAAAGAAGTAAAAGGGAGGGTGGCCCAATATAAATAGGGGAAGGTTACAATGTTGGGCATGTGACCAGAATTGTCATTTTGTATACCCCCAAAATTCAACAATTCCTGGGATGTTTGGCATTTGGAATATTCCTCTCTCTACACCCCCTCCTCCATGTTATGGGAACCAGTAGTAGACAAATTCCCTGAAGTTACCTTAAAGAAAATGCCTAAGTTATTTAATCCATTGGATAGAATTAGTCTGGATCAATTGAAAAACTGATTAAATACTTTCGGAAAAGAAGAATACAGTTTGGCAAGAATGTAAGAAGACTATAATAAATTAGTCAACATTAGTAGATACCCTGATAGTTATTGTTGCTATAGTAACAGCAATATGGAAGTTAAAAAGGCATAGAAAGAAATGAAACAGATTGAAGCAAGACAAAGAGAAAACCAAGTTGAATTCGACAGAATTGGAAGCAGAGACGACACACATTAAAGAGAAAGCAAAATCTCCTTTTAGGGAGAGAGGAAAGGGGCAAAGCATAAAACAAATAGAAAAATGGGGGATACAAATAGAAAAATGGGGGATCGATTGAAACGAAGAGTAAGGGAGGTGGAGAATTCCTATAAAAATATTTTAATAATTGGTAAAGAATGGTTCGAACCCCATAATAAAACATTGAATGATAATAAAAGAATAAGAAACATTTAAAAAAAAACATTAAATGACATGACAGAAGAAGAAGAAGAAGAAGAAGAAGAAGAAGAAGAAGAAGGACTCTTAAAACATTGCATGATAAAAGAAAAGGAAAGATTTTTGTTTTAATTCTACTACATGAAATAGAAAAGAAATAATGCATGATAAAAAGCTTTGTTAATTGCCTGGGATTTGTGTCATCTACAAGTAAATGACACACAAGAAGTATAAGATAGAGATTTGACACTATACGACAATGGAAGATTTAAGAGATAGCCCGATAAACATACCAAGAAACGAGACAGGACTTGATTAAAATTCAGACATTTGTTTTCTTCTGTAAATAAGCCAAAGAAAAAGGAATAAAAATGATTTGAATTAAAACGAAATCATTATTTTGAGGAATTGAACCAACAAAGTCTTCTGGATAACTGAAGTCCACAAGGGATGGGGTGTGGTGGTATAAGAACATACAAGTCCGTGGAGGATTTTACTAAGACAAGGCAAGACTTTGATCGAAGTTGTTCATTCAACGATCAACTGCAGGGATCGAACATCGAACGCACCGATGGGGAGGATGTCAAATTGACTGCTACTTACAAAGATTCAATAAAAAATAAGCATACACCATGAAAAAAATTAGTGAAATTTAATAAAAACAAAATTATTATTAAGAGGAAAGAACAAAGGATTTTTGATTATTAAATTATATTTTATAAACCTTTTAACAATCTTCGGAATTTTGATTACAAATTTGGTTTTCCTTGCGTCAACAGGTGACTGGAATTTAGTGTGGAAAATTTCAGCGTCTTTTTCCGGTGAAAGACACATGGATTTGGAAATTCCTGCAAAATTCGGATAATTATTGAATTTTAATGAATCTTTCAGAACTTATTCACAAACGAATAAAATTATTGAAGAAATGTGCCTCTTTTAGAAAATCTTGGTTAAAAAATTTTTTATATCAGGTACCCATGACATTTTTAATTTTATGAAATTCAACTTTGGAGCTTATAATGATTATATTAGTTATAAGAACAAGTCTTTGGAAAAGTTAAATCATTTTTTTAATAACAAGACCCGCAGTTACAGAAAATCAACTCTGAATCGTACAATAAAAGTTAAACGCTGTTTAATTCGAAAAAAACTTTCAAATGCATTTATTAATGATATCTTATGGACACTATTGTCTTAAGAAAAAACATTTTCGATTATACATACATACATACATACATATATATATATATATATATATATATATATATATATATATATATATATATATATATATATATATCTTGAAGAATTCAGTCAAAACGTATTGTCCTTCTAATTAGTATTTTACCTCTTTACGACAAAGTACTAGAGGCTTTAGTATCTCACTTCACAGGATCGTTTTCTCTCCAAATACCAAAAGAGACTGATTTTGTTTTGCACCAAAAAAAAAAAAAAAAAAAAAAAAAAATGGCATGAGAAAGCAAACAATTTCGGGCGAATTTTTCGACGCCATTTATCGAAACGAAAACACAAGCATGAATGAAAAATCAAGTGTTACATTAATAAAAGATTTATTAACAAGTATCCGATAATTTTCATGACAAATTTGAATAAAAAGAGAAAAAAACCTTTTTTTTCTCTATGTTATTTTGTCCCTTCAGGGCGTAATCTCTTGTCCGGAATAGTATGCCCCTCCCTTTAATTCCAACCTACCCTTCTATTCCGAATCTAAGGGTAAGCGGTTGTGGAGAGCCATAGACTTTTTCTTTTTTGCAATATCTGTGAAATGTCATTGAATCTTTTTAGTATGGAGTGGTTTTCCAATGCCTTTTCCCTTGACTTGTTGCCATTCAAGGCTAGAGGAGGCAGTCTACCTTGCTATTTATTTCAGCTGAATTCAAAACTTATTCTTTAAAATAAATCAAACATGAATTAATTCCAAACTAAAATAAAATAAATAATAATTAGATGAAAAAACAAAAAACAGTTCAACAACCATATTGAGTGACTTTCATTTCTTCGACATTAAATGACATCCCTTAGCATCGGCCATAATTTACCTTGACTTTCAGTTAACCTGACGTCTATTTATAAGCGATGTGCCCAATTGTTATTAACAACCTTCCCGATGTCATCCGTTTTCAAGCCGATTTCTATGCTGATGTCACAACTATTTACACTTGTCTTCTTGGTAAGTCTGGTCGCTTTGATAAAGTGAAATTGGCAACTTATCTCACAGAAGACCTACAATCTTTTGTTAACTGTAGTTAGGTGTAACTGTAAATTATATGCTAACATTTCCTTTCATTGGTAACATTAGACAGCTACACACAAACAATACCAACATACTAGTAAAATCAAAAAGTCAAAACAGACATATGATCCTTGAAACGTGACTCTTACAATAAAACTCCGAATATCTATAAATAAAGCAATTATAATTTAAGAGGCTGTGTCCTCAAATGTATTTATCAACAGACACACAGACATCAGACTTCGCCTCCATCTTAACACTCTTTGCACACATCACAACAGTCACCAGTTCTATGAAAGTAATCAGGAAACAGATGACTATTGCAACTTATCAAAACTGGCAAACTGGACAGCTTCCATCTTTGTGTTCAATCACTTCGCTATAATACCAGCCAATTGTATTCAGATTAATATTTTGGTTAAATAGAAAGAAAATACATTAATAAAACAGTAAATATGGCTACTACTCAAATCTATTTTGTCTATTTCCTTATTAAATTCAATCTCCTTTCAAGATATAAGGAATTGTGACTCTCCACATCTTCTTCTTCTTTGATATTTGAACTGTGCATTACCACGACTTAATTAGAAATATAATTGACTTTTCAAAAATTTCAATCCATTCTTGACCTTCTATGAAAATGGTGGCCAAACAAGGCGAGTTCGGCCTTCACAACTATTTAATCCATACTTGGAGGACGATATTTTTCAGCGCACTCACGTCGCTACTGAGCATGACACAATGTCGAGTTTAAAGTGAGTTTATCGGCAACGTCGTAGAAAAATTGGTCAACCTTCCCCACCGGAACACAACCACTTTTCGGGACATCTCAGCGCCATCCCGAAGGAGAGGTACTACCGCGATGGTTGACTCCTTGGGACTTTAATTATTATTATTATGAAAGTATTTTATCAGTAATATTATTTCATCTTTTTTTCTTAATTGTTTTTAATGATGATGATGATGATGATGATATCGCTAGATTTGCTTTTCCTGTTGTTTTTATCTTAAATTTTAATAAAAATAATTTCATTATGATGATGATGATGAATGATCCTGTTGTTGTTGTTGTTACGAGTCCATTTTTTTTTTCTCTCTCCGTTGCTTTTGTCCCTTCCGGATATCATCTTCCGTCTGGAATTGACGGGCCGCTCCCTTTCATATCCAATCTACCCATCCAGTCTGGAACCAAGAGATAACGGTTTTAGAAATTCCTTTTCATCTGTCTCTTTTTTTCTTGTCTCCAGTTCCCCGCCAATGTCAGTCTTAAAAAGAATCCTTCCTTTCTTTGAGGCATGAATGTCCACATCCAATTCCTAAGTCGATCTTCGAATTTTGCCCAAAAATCCCCCAAAAAGAAATGAAATATTGACCCGTTATCGGAATCTCTCTTCAACAGATTCTATGACCACGCCTAAAGCAACACCACAAACACCTATTTGGAATTTCACTCAGAAATCTTCGCATCAAAAACATACCGATTCTTTCTTCTCTTTTACAAATTACAAATATAAAGAAAAAGTAAAACAATGTAGAAAAAAAGAGAAAGAAAGAAAAAGAGAAAGAAAGAAAAAGAGAAAAAAAGGAAAAGAGAAAGAAAGGAAAAAGAGAAAGAAAGAAAAAGAGAAAGAAAAAGAGAAAGAAAGAAAAAGAGAAAGAAAGAAAAAAGAGAAAGAAAGAAAAAGCGAAAGAAAGAAAAAGAGAAAGAAAGAAAAGAGAGAGAAAAAAGAGAAAGAAAGAAAAAAGAAAGAAAGAAAAAGAGGAAGAAAATATCTTTCTATAATTATTTAACTCATTTTGTTATCCTATGAAAAAAAGCAGTTTTTAAGGTAAAATTTTTTAAATATTCATCAGTAAAAATAAATTTTATTTATTTATATAAATTAAAAAATGTCTCTTTACATCACGGTCAGCCCGATTCAATAAGTGGTCTTCCCCATGCTGGTCAGTACTGGCGCCGGTCAACTGATGGTTATCTGTAGACCGCTTCTTTTCTTCATCTGCTCTGTCCCACGTTGTGTTTGATCACAGTGTAGTGAAGATCGAATTTAGAGTCTAAAGAACCGTGCTATGAAAACCAAAGGACAAGACTACTTCCGATGGTGAAAGTACAAATCATAATAAATCATGAAGAAAGTCGCTGAGATAATTTTCAAATGGTTTTATATAATTGTTGTTCTACAAAATTAACCTTTCCCCTGGAATCTAGTGACAAAGTATCTTCTGTTTCTACAAGTGGAGCAGGTTAGCCATTATCGATTTCTTCTGCTTGTTGATTTACCAAAACCTGTTCTTAAGAAATTCTTTTATCTATTTTCAAAAAGCATAGCAATTTATTTACATTTCCAATATGAACAAAATATTACCTGCGAAAACCGGAAGTTTTTATCAAATCAAAATCATTTTGGCTATTAAATGATTTTCTGCGCAATCAATAAAATCATACTTCATAATTATTTTCCCGACCTCATATCGCAATATTTTCATCTCATTTCAAAATTCAATTTCGTTTCCATATTTTCAACCATTGATTGGCTCAGAAAAAAAAAAAAAAAAAAATACGAAGATATCCTGCAAAATCAATCTTTTTTTTTCACGCAAATAATAAAAATTGTTTTTATATGATAATTCGCCTTGACTCATATTACGAAACTGAACATTTTTCTGTAATTATTTACCTGAACTGAAAACTTTTAAAAAATTTCAAAAAAAACTAAATAAGGAAAACTTTCAAAAACACAAAAAACGAAACTTAATTTTCTTAAATATCAAAATTTGTTGTTTAAAGAAAAAACGCAAAATTTAATTTTTTAATTAATTTTAAAAATTTTCAATAATTTTTTTGTCGTCGTTTTTTAAATAAACTGCAATACTCGGAACATTTTCAGATTTTTTTCGAAAATTTGTACAGAACTTTTTCTGGCAAAATAGAAAAAAATCCTTCCAAGTTGGAAAAATAAAAAAATGTCCAAATCTATCTCGAAAATGTGTTCTTCAGTTTCCACCTTTTCAAGAATTTGTCCATTTTGATCGAAGACAAAAAATTCCGACATTCCTTATCTTGTCCCCCGACAAATTCCCAGTTATTGGATCGGCACGAAGGAGGGGAAAAGAATCAGGATCCGACCCCGGCGATTTTTCAAGTTCAATTGTTTTTCTAAAGAAGGAAATGAAAACAAAGAAAAAGAATTTCTTCAAAATCCAAAATTAAAAACGAAAATTTGTTCGTTCATTTGACACAAAGAATAAAATGGCTTTTCCTCTTTGCTTTATATATCCTTCCAATAATTCTCTTCTGTTACAATTTATAAAAATATGTTTTCTCTATCACTAAATTACTATTAATTCTTGGTGACTATCAATAATACTTTAATATTATCCTTATTAGCATATTTTTTCATTTTTTTTTTCCTTAACGGATCTTTTTGAGATTATCCTTAATTATCCTTTACATATAAGGATTATATTTTCGCTACAATATTATATATTAATAACAATATAACTTAATATAAATTCTGAGTTCATTCATTATGTAATAATACATAATTATATGTATATAAGCTATATTTCATATATTGGTATATATATATATATATATATATATATATATATATATATATATATTTATATATTTATTCTCAAATATTAGTATGTCTAATTTTAAGTATTTACATTTTTTTAGATTTAATATGTGGTGCATATGATAATATATAATATTGATATGTATTATTGAATCGTATTTTACTGATATATAAAATATTATGAAGTCTGATGAAGTGGCATTTAAATATTTATCTTGGTATAAATTTTTATTTAGGTTTATATATATATATATATATATATATATATATATATATATATATATATATATATATTGTTTTTTTGTTTTGTTTTTAAATATTTTAATCTCTGTTAAGGTTTTTTGTAATATTTTATATTTATTAAATTTCCTTCCTCTCTTCTTCTTCTTCTTCTTCTTCTTCTGTTTTTTCTTCCTTTCTTTCCTCCTCTCTCTCTGGGAATTTTTATTTCAATAATTTATCATCCATTGACTTATTTGAAAAATCTCGTTAATTTAATTTTAAAAGGTGAAAATGGTCATTTCCATAATGGTATCTTAATTCCAATTGTATGAAATATATTGCTCTCTTTATAAAAACATTGTGTGAATCAGTTTTAATACTTAAATTTAATAATTTATATTTTGTGTTAGTAGGATTCACTTGGATTATATATCTTACTTATTATAAAACGCAGGTTGTGTGTGTGTGTGTGTGTGTGTGTGTGTGTGTGTGTGTGTGTGTGTCTGTAACGTTTATATGTTGGATCGAATTTCCTACATTTTTTAGCCGATTTCAACAAAACTTCACAGGACTACATAAAATTACCTTGTGGTGGTTCTAACGGGACCGAAAATGGGAAAAAATACAGTTGTTTTTTTTAATAAAATCAATTTGAAAACACGATTAAAACACATCGTGAGAATGAAAGGGGACAACTCACCCACAAAATGTAAACAAAAGAGCATAGCATGATGAAAAAAATGACGCCGAACTTGATGAAAACAAATTTTATCGTCTAATGTTCATATTATTATTAAAGAGGAAAGATCAAAGTATTTTGGGGTATTTTTTTTTACATTTTTAATCGTTCCTAGCACGTCTGAAATTTTCGTTAAAAATATTGTTTTTTTTTTGGTCAAAAAAAGGACAGATAATCATTTTCAATTTCAATCATTTTTTCGATTTGATAAAAAAGATTAAAATCTTACTTTGATATTCTTTTAAAAAAATCAATTATCATTTTTTCAAAACTGATTTTAATAAAAACAGATATTATACTGTTTATTTAAAATATTTTGAACCAAGCTTAACTTAGCTTCTGCGCCGAAAAAATGTAATTTGAAAATAAAACAAAGCAGGTCATAACCTTTCGCGTCGCTTGACGATTGACGAAAGGCACATTTATGACGTTTAGATAACTTACGGGAGGAGAATTCTTTCTACGGATGGAAGGAAGTGAAATTATTTAAGTGAACAAATTATTTACCTTGTTACTTTTAAGGAAAACTTTCAGCGCTCTAATTTTTTATTTTTTTTTTTTTTTATTTTTTTTTTTGTACTTAGCTTTCATTTTTATGCTTATGATGCTTTATGGAAAATATAAAGAAATTAAAAAATAAGACTTTTAATAGTGAGATTAAATTTCATAAGAAAAAGGTATCTAATTAATTTAGGTACCTTTCTTATGAAATTTTATCAGAAGTGTACATAAAATACTATAATTTTATGTACATTTATTACATTTTACTGTGTTATTTGTATTTCCATTCATTTTATTATTAATTTTGATATTTCATTTATGGAAAAATGTCATAACTGAGATTAATATAAAAAATAAGATCATATAAATTAAAGTTTAGCAGTAGTTAAATTTCATAAGATGATACTGTTACTTGTAGGTACCCTTCTCAGTTGAAATTGAAAACTCAAATTAACTTCTCCATACGTGTTTCGCAAAAGTAAAGGGCTTAACAGCGGAGAACAATGCTGAACTCAAATAATGCAACTAAATTGTATTCTGGTTGGTCTTCCGTACTTGATAATTACTGTCCGACTATAAACACAAAATTACATTTCTTAATTACCATGGCTAATCTGATTGGTCCAAATTATACAATTTTCAAAGCGCTAGACAATGACAATCTCACACGGACATTTTGAAAGGTTGATGTTGCTTTTAACTAATGTTAAAATATTTTTTAAAATTCAATTTAAACATTTTTTAAAAATCTTTTTAAAATTAAAGAAATAAGAAGTAATTGTATTAAAAATTCAATTTTCATTGAAAAATTTTTTTGCTTTTTGTCCATATTCATAAAAACAAATTAAAACAAAAAAGCATTTGAAACTAAATAATATATTTGTTTTATTGAGTTTTGTATGTTACAATTCACAGCTGATTTTCAGGTACGTTGGCCAAAAAAAAAAAAAAAAAAAAAAAAAATGATTTGCATTCTTCAAAGCCTTGTGCTTTTAACTATTGTAATCACTAAAACCGATGGTCTCGAATTTCTAGAGTTTTTCATAAAATTAGTTATGGGGGTGTTAATAAATATAAAAAAAAATTTCTGCCATGACTTTAATAAAAAAAAATATTTATAATAATTTCGATCATCTGTGAATAGTTTCTGAAAGTTTCATTAACATCTGACAATTATTTTTATTTTTGCAAGATTTTCCAAATTAATGTGTGTAAATACAAAAAATGCGCTAAAAATTATCTATGTTATTTACTACCCTTGTTGCGACAAAGAGAAACAAGGTTTTTTAAATCAAAATTTAGAATATTCTAAAAGATGGAAAAATTTTTTAAAATAATTAAAAAAAAAATTTAGTCTATCCTCTTCATAAAAAAATAAGCATTTTGACGATAAAATTTTGTTTTCATAAACTTTGGCGTCTTTTTTCATCAGACTATGCTCTATGTTTTAGCGATTCCGTGGAGTGACTTAGGTTAAAAAACCCAGGTTGTTTGTGTGTGTGTGTGTGTTGTGTGTGTTTCCTTTATATATGGGATCGGGTTTCTTACATTTTTCAGTCGATAAAACAAACATCCACTTTTTTTTTTCAGCAGGTAGTATTTTTATTGTCTTGCACACTTTTTTCTTTATTTACATTCAGAATGCTTTAAAAATTCCATATACAAGACAGTTGTTTATAATAAAATTCTATTCACCAATCGATAGACTCATAATGATTGTAAACAATGTT